TATTATGAAAATGAAAAATAAGTTGTTAACTATTTAATTTATCTTTATCTTTTTTATTATTTTTAATTTTTAATTTTTAATTTATTAATATATTGGTTTTATTTTAAATAAAAAAACTCTCCATGGAAGATGGTAGAAAAAATTATATATTTTTTTTATTGCTAATGTTTGAAAATGCCGAATAATCTTATAATTTTCAAAATTAATTTTATTTTTAGTGTTGGTTGATTTTAGCTCTACACATTCATTAATTTTTATAGTTTTGTTAGACAAATACAAATAGGGCTTTATAATAAGAGGGGTATGCTTGTGATACTAATTCTTGTGGAACTAGCACGTTATGGAAGCATTTAAAAAATTAGCGTAGGAAGTACACATGTAAGTTGGAGGACAAAGGACAAACCACTTTAAGTTTTCAACGTTCAATAGATGGAAAGGGTGGTTGTAATATTGTCATTTCATTATTTAGTAAAACAAGATGTAAAGCAGCATGTGCCAAGATGATAATTATGGATGAATTATCATTTAAGTTTATAAAGAATGAGGGTTTCAAATTGTTTGGTAGTATTGTATGTCCTAAGTTTGACCCTCTGTCAATAGTAACCATTCCTAGAGATATATTTCAGCTCTATCTAGAAGAAAAAAAAATATTTTTTAGTTAGTCATTCTAAGAGGGTTTGTCTTACCACTGACCCATGGACTTTGTTGCAAAACATTAATTACATGGTAATCACGACACGTTTTATTGATTCAGAATAGAATTTGCATAAAAGAATTCTCAACTTTTGTCAAGTTGCTAACCACAAGGGAGAGACTATTGGCAAGATTATTGAAAGTTGTTTATTGGAATGGAGAATCGATAAGGTTTTCTGTATCACAGTTGATAATGCAAGTTCCAATGATAATAGTTATTTCATATATTATGAGAAGGCTTAGAAGTTGGAATTCACCTGTCTTAGATAGAGAAATATTACACATGAGGTGTCGTGCTCACATAATTAATTTGATTGTGAATGAAGGGCTTAAAGAAATGCATGACTCCATTTCTGATTGGAAAAATGTTGCATTGTTTGTAAAGTTTTTGAAGGTTTTCTATGATGTCACTGCAAAGATAGGTGGTTCTTTATATGTGACTTCTAATTTTTATTTTCATGAAATTTAGGGTATTCGAGAACTTTTAATTAAGTGGAGTACAAATGTGAACTCTGTTTTAAGTAACATGAGTTCAAATATGAAAGTTAAGTATGACAAATATTGGGGCTAAGTGGAAAGAATTAATAAGTTGATATGCATAGCAGTGGTACTCGATCCTCGTTACAAATTGGATTACATATCATTTTACTTTTCAAATATTTATGAAGATGCTATGCTATGTCTAAAGTGATGGTGGATGGCATAAAGAATTGTTTAATTCGTTGATAGGATTACTACAAGTTTTATGATAATGCTCTAGATCATCATCAATCTGAATCAAGACTCACTTCTAAGTCCATGAGTATAGAGATGGACACAATTGATGAAGAAAATTTGAGTGATTCTATTAGTATTATGAAGATACAAACGAAGAAGAGAAGAGCAACATTCACTCGAGTTAAAGAATGATGTGGATGGATATTTATGTGACCCTAGTGAAGAACTTGATGATAATTTTGATGTTTTAGCATGGTGAAAAGCAAATGAGTTTAAGCTAACGTCGAGCGGCCGAAATATATTTCTCTTTTATAGTTACGGTAATATTTAATGTATTAATACAATAAATATGTGTTTCTCTTTTATAATATATTAAACACTATTCAAATTAAATATATTTCTCTTTATTTGTTTGTTTTTACATCATGCGAGTGAATGAAATATATATAAAAAAAAAAAGTATAATTAATAATAATAATGTGTTAAATATGCTATAATTTGGCTCTACACAAAGGGCACGAATTGCTCCTTTGAAACCAGGTGAGGATGCATGATTTGTGAAACACATGGCCGCATGGGATTTTAGCCACCTCCCTCTCTCCCCCCTTCTCTGCTTCATAGCTTTCGTAGCACACACTGCACTCTTCTCCCCCAATTCCCTGCTTTTCCGCCGCCGCCACTTCAGCTTCCTTCAGAACCACCTTCTCCTCCACCATTACACCTCGCCCAACTGAACCCGGGCGCTTCTCCATCCAAAACATTTGAATGTAATCAATGTCCGCCACCAATTGGAACTTCGCGTCGTAGTCTACGGCGGCCCACTGTGTGACCAACGACGTGATCTTCTGGACAATGGGGTTGCAGGACATGGAGTCGAGGTTCAAGGAGGACACCAATTCAATCAAGTAAGCGTGGCAGAATAACGGATCTTCCAGCTCTCGTAGAGGCAGAGGAAACAGAGCATCCGCCATTGGAGTCGAGGGAGTTTCTTCCAGGATGTCGTAGGGAAGGCCGGCGGACGGCGATCGGGAGATCAGACGGCTGGAATAGCACAGCCGGAATCGGAGGAATTGATCGGCGCCGTGGTTGCGGCGGAGAGAGTAGCGGAGGGTGGAGGCATTTGCGAGAGGCATGTTGGATTGATTGAGACAGAGATTGTTGTATTTTTGTTTTGATTTAATGATAATATTAACAGGGAATTGGAAGCATAAGTAAGCTCCGATTAGGAAACTCCAGATTTTAGTGTCAAATTTAGGAATCATATTTAAAATTACTCTAAATATTTCCTTTTATGGAAACTCTCAAAATCAAATTTAGTTTCTTATCCCTATTTATTTGAATTTCATTACACTAAAATAAATCGATAAAGTACAAAAGGTTTATTTTGTTTTTCTACCACTTTCTTGGTCGGGCTAGCATTCTCTCGAGTTGTTGTTGTCAAACACCCATTAGAAATAGCAATCGTTACAGCATTATGATGAACATAATGATCGTTTTCCTACCTTGTAGTGTAAGAGGGGTATTTTCTAATATATGAACACAAAATAATGGATGAGGTCCTAACATTTTTCTTTTATTATCATACAAAACAATCCCTTACGCTTTCCTTTTTATCCTATCGTCTTTATCATAACTTTCCATGCATATATCGAGATTTTGCATTATGTCACTTTATCATATTGCATATCAATCATATCATGTTAAACATGTCATATCATAAACATATCTATCTTCTACGTATCATATCATATCATGCACATATCATATTATATATTGTGTCATAACATGTGTCTTATCATCAATAAACTACATCATAACATTCACGTATCATATCACGAACATATCATTAGACATATCATATGATAACATATTATTTCATAATATGTATCATCTCATTCACCTATAATATCATAAACATATCATTTCATAACATTTCACATTTAATAAACATATGACATGTACAAAGTCAGGGGGCATGTGCCGTTATACTGCATACAAATTATAACAAAACTGATAGTAAGGTCATTTACTTGGTTGTCCTTAATCGATGTTCTCCCTAATTTCGAGTACGTTTAAAATTCATCACTCAAAGTACCGCCGGTAGTTGTTCCCGATTAGAACGTACATCTCGTTTCGTTAATAACTCAAATTCCTTAGCTCAAATTAACTTAAGAATTATACCTTGTATTAACCTTAATTTCCTTAAACGAGTTCAATTTCAGCTTTGAAAGGGTCGAAACGATAGAATTTGTCAAAAAATCCCTTTACCAATCCAAGAAGCCGAGTTCTAAGTTGAGGAGCCGAGCCAAAGCCAAGCCGAATATTGAGCTGCGCCAGCTGAAGGAGTCGTTGGTCGTAAGTTCGACACGTGTCGCTGAGAGGAGGTGACGCGTGTGCAAGTTGTAGTCGAGTTGAGGCGTGGGTTGTCGGGTCGCTGATGCAGGCGTGCGGGTTGCGGGCCGTGAGGCTGGGCTGTACTTTCTAAATTGGTTTTGGACCATTGAAGGTGTATGGGCCGATGGTGAAAGCATCTAGGCCGAGACTGCAGGTAATTGGGTTGTAGATGTTTGGGCCGAGACAATGGGTTGCAGGTGGGCCGAAGCTGGGTTGTTGGTTGGGCACCCGATCCGCATCTGAATCCGACCCGGAAAATTGTCTTCCTCACCCGATTAGTGCGATTTTTTTTTGTACCCTCGGGCAAACTACATGTAACATATTATGGTGTATGCGTCCATACAAAATATATTAGAGAAGTATTCCATACTCGTGATATTCAACACGCATGAGGTCCCGCATTTTCAAATCATGGTACATGGTTAAGATGCACGTCACATTTTCATATTTTTTATGACATAACCTTCCTACGAGATATACATACATTGATAAATCATTCATTATATCATACATGACTCATCAAGTGTTTTATAGGACATAACGTGAACATGATAATATAGCACACATTGATTAACATACTCAAAGTGTATGCATCACAAAAAAGTTCATAAATATCACATGAACAAGCAATAACACGTAGATAAGGCATACAATATGTGTTATTTATACAATATACAATTCATCCAACGTAACATTAAAGTGTTCGAATAGTAAGTTGAGTTAGTATGTTAAATTAATAATAATAATAAATGAAAGTATAGAGTTTAAATAATATTGAATCCATTAGGGACAAAAAAAAAAAAAAAAAAAA